CCTTGGCGCGCGTCTTCTAAGGATTCAGGTGACAGTGGTGCTGCCTCGTCGGCGCCCCTTGTTAATTTTGCGGCTGCGGCCATGTGTGCTCGATACCACTTGTTGTATCCACCTCCACTGTTTAGGTGGTAGTGAAAACTACCGATTAGTGAATGAGAAGAGGCTAAATGCCTCTGCGTTAGGACGACCCGTACAGAAGTCTGTACGGTCCGAAGATATAGTCGTCAACGCGAATTATCACCAATCGGTGCAATCGTAACCCAAGTGGGTCTACCAGTGACAAGTGTCACGATTATAGCAAGAGCGCTATAATCCAGTATCACGCGTGATGAAGACAGGCAAGTGCCCGCTTAAAGGTGGGCCAGCGCCCAATTAAAGATAGGCAAGTGCCCAATGGTTAACCAAGTAAGAGCGAAGATATTGCCCAGCGGCAAAGTGCCAGAGAATTGGGGAAAGATCCGAGGGTTAATATGCAGGTGTGCCACAACACTCCGCAGCCAACACCACCTGACACGTAAAACAGTTCGTCTGCCTCGCCACTGGATGGCGTTAAATGCCAGCGTTGCACGGCTCTCTAGCCGTCCGACGACACGCCCGCACGGCTGGGTGCATCCCTTGCACTTCTGGGTTCGACTCCCACACGGGTGTACTACGAGTATACGCACGCTCCGTCGCCGTAGCTCATATGTTATGAGCGGAGGCCTATCCCGAGTTCGCTGTCCGGTTGTCCGGAGCGTTTTGGAAATTCCGGGTCGGGAGCGTGCCGTACGCGCTTATGACAGCGCCATAAAGAACGGAAGGTCGCCGGTCGCCGTAGCTCATATGTTATGAGCGGAGGCCTATCGCGAGTATACGCACGCTCCGTCGCCGTAGCTCATATGTTATGAGCGGAGGCCTATCCCGAGTTCGCTGTCCGGTTGTCCGGAGCGTTTTGGAAATTCCGGGTCGGGAGCGTGCCGTACGCGCTTATGACAGCGCCATAAAGAACGGAAGGTCGCCGGTCGCCGTAGCTCATATGTTATGAGCGGAGGCCTATCGTCGTAGTCCCGACGTTAGACGGACGACGTTTAGTCGTTCCGTCGTCGGGACGGAGACCTTACCCCAGCTTAGCGTCCGTCGCCGTAGCTCATATGTTATGAGCGGAGGCCTATCCGGAGTTCGATGGTTGTCCGGTTGTCCGGTTGTCCGTCCGGAGCGTTTTGGAAATTCCGGGTCGGGAGCGTGCCGTACGCGCTTAAGACCGCGCCAAAAAGAACGGGAGGTCGCCGGTTCGATCCCGAGCAAAATTATGTTTTATGTTTCATATTTGCATATATGCATATGTGCGATATTATGTAATATGCGATATGCAGCGATATGCGATATGCAGTGCTATGCGATATGTATGCAACGATATGCTATGCGATATGCAGCGATGTGCGATATGTATGTGTATGCAGCGATATGCCATATGTATGCAGCGATATGCGATATGTATGCAGCGATATGCGATATGTATGTGTATGCAGCGATATGCAATATGCAGCGATATGTGATATGCAGCGATATGTGATATGCAGCGATATGTGATATGCTGTGATATGCGATACGCGATATGCGATATGCGGTATGCAATATGCAATATGCAATATGCAATATGCAAGGTGCAATATGTTTTAATGTTATATATATGCGATCTCATATGCAAGCTTATGAGACCTGCAAGCATATGCGATCTGCAAGCATATGCGATCTGCAAGCATATGCCATATGCGATCTGCAAGCATATGCTATGCTATGCTATGCTATGCTATGCTATGCTATGCTATGCTATGCTATGCTATGCTATGCTATGCTATGCTATGCTATGCTATGCTATGCTATGCTATGCTATGCTATGCTATGCTGTGCTATGCTATGCTGTGCTATGCTATGCTATGCTATGCTATGCTATCTGCAAGCATATGCAGTATGCAAGCATATGTGATCTGCAAGCATATGCGATGTGCAAGCATATGCGATCTGCAAGCATATGCAATGTGCAAGCATATACACTCTGCAAGCATTTGTGATCTGCAAGCGTATGCGGTGTGCAAGCATATGCGATGTGCAAGCATATGCGCTCTGCAAGCATATGGGATGTGCAAGCGTATGCGATCTGCAAGCATATGTGATCTGCAAGCATATGCGATCTGCAAGCATATGCATCATGTTTTATGTTTCATATTTGCATATATGCATATGTGCGATATTATGTAATATGCGATATGCAGCGATATGCGATATGCAGTGATATGCGATATGTC